CCTAGCCGCCAAGGAGAATCTTGGTTTCATACTCTCCAAGATAGACTTAGTCATTTTCTAGGCAGTCCATGGTATGTTCAAGACTCTTCTCCAACACCACAACTCAAAAGCATCAATAATTCTTCTGTCATCCTTAGTCACTGTCCAGCTCTCTATGCACAGCAATTAATTGCAAAAACCTCTAAACTGACATCATTGCTTCTCAGAATTCTAGAGAGGTTCCTGACAGTTGATTTTCCCAATGCAAGCTGTAATTGTTAAAAACTTCAATCACATAACCAAAAACTCAAAATGATCAACAGAAGTCTCTAATTTTTACTTTTACACATATATTCAATCAAGTGTATATTCAAATGTACTATTTCAACAGCTGATCAATAACTCCAGTCTTAAATAGTGTATGGATGTATTGTACATCCAAAGAATATAGGGTAAAGAGTTAATCAATGGCTCACACTTAGCCCAGGCAGCTCAAAGAACCATTCTAGGGTATTATGAGCCAAATTTATGTCACATTCTTGGCTAAGCCAGCCCAGCCCCGCCCCAGTCCTGATAAAGAGCAAGATCCCACAAAGGAAGGGAGACAGAGCTCCCTCTTCAGGTTCTAAAGTCTCCAAGGCTTCTCTTGTAACTGAGGCCCAGCATGGTTAACCTGAGGAGGGGTGAGACTCATCTTTGAATTCAGGCTCCCACGATGCGGGCAGTTGTCTCTCAGCTCTGCGTGGCCATTCCTCTGGCTTCAGTCTTCCTGTTAACATCCTCCTGGCAGAAGCAGTAGGCCTTGTGATTTTTCAGCTGCTAGTTATTAATTTTTCTGATATTTCTCAGATGTGCATGATTACTTATTTCTAAATAAGAAGAGAACTGGGAAAATCTTGTTTGAGGGTCACTAAGAAAAGTGACAAAAACAAACTTCTTTCATAACCACTTTCTTTGATGAACACACTCAGTTAAGGCTAGACTTGATTTAATTTTTTTATTTTTACTGTGATTGTAACAAAACGAAATCTCAACTAGTTTTCCTTAAGGTAATTTTAAATACTCTTCATCTTTGAAATCTCTGTCCCTCTTCTATTCCCCACATCTGGCTGCTTTCAAAGACTTGTTGAGATTTTTCTCTCTACTCATTTTGAATCTGTCCTTTTTGCCTGGCCTGAGAATGGTTACCTGGTTCAGCCCTTATAGTAGGTTCTACCTAATCTACCATACTTGACTCCTAAATAGTCTGTTGCCTACATTTTATTTATTTATTTATTTTTAGCAAGATTTCTTCTGGTCTCATTCATAGGGTTGCTATGAGTCGTCTATGACTCAACTGCACTAACAACAACATATAGGGTTTAGTACATATATTTTGGGAGGGGAAGACAATTCAATCCGTAAAAAATGTTTTATGAATATTTTCTCTAATTTTTCATTTTGCTTTTGTCTTTGTTAATATGTCTTAACCAGGTATAAGTTTACATTTTTACCAGGGCTAAGTTACAATGATCAAACAAAGTTGCACATTGCTGCCATGATTAACTTCCTAAACCTGCAATCTGATCTTATTTTACTTGTGTTGGACACATATTTTGCTTGTTTAATCCAGCCAGCAATCATTATTCTAAGGAAGCATTCGTCTATCCTTGTAATAGTAATCCTACTCAGTCCACTGGGTTCCATAGGCTCCTGAACAGCTGATAACCCTCTCCTTTCAAGTTGCCTACACCCCACTGCATTTGGGCATATGTGCACCCACACATGAAAGAGGTACAGAATTCAGGCCTGCCCAAGATGCTCTCACTTCTATAGATCAAGTGATTGATCCAAGGTTACAATACGAGACATGTAATTGGCCCAATGTTGAGAAATGGAATTGGCCTTGTATTCACTAATCAGTTATTCATCGAGCTTTCGACCAAAACTGTGAAGAAAGACATTCTCTTCTCAGTGGTCATGAGCTTCAGTTGAGGTTCAACTTATCTAGGACATTCTTTCCCACAGAGAATAAAAGTCTGTCATAGAATAAAGCCAATATCAAGAACCAGCAGAGTTCAAAGACAACATGAAGCCAAGGGGAAATAAGAGGGAATGGTTCCAGCAAATTTAAAGATGTCTTTTGAACCACCAACCCCTGCTATGCTTCTGCCACCTTGGTTATGGAAGCAATATATGTTTTGGGTATTTTTCCCTTGTAAGTGCTTTCTGAATTGACTTATTGAGTTGTGAGCAAGTGTCTAAAACTCCACTATTTATAAATATTTAATAATATCACTTCCTTTAAGAAACAGAGAAAGAAACCCGAAGTATTGAGCATAGTAGCTTGCAGTTCTGGTGGTCTGTCGAGAAGACAGGGAGTTATGTTGCCAATCCAAAGGTGGGAAGTTCAAATCCAAGAGGTCTTCTCCTGTACGATTTTCAGCCTCTGAAAACCTGCCTTAGGGTCAATTCTGAGTTGGTTCCAACTCAACTGCAATGAGTCTGAGCCACACAGCCACCATAGTTTTCCAGTCACCTCAACCTGAAGTGTTTCTTTGAAATAATAAAACAATAGTAATAATAGAACCAATACCATCTCTTACAGCCATCACTGCATGTCTAGAGTGTTCCTCCTATCATGTTATTTCTTGCAATAGCCCCTGAATAAAAAAATTATTCTCTTACTTCCCCCCACATTATTCAGTCTTCCAGATCCGGCTCATTTCAGCCCCACATCCTGTTTATGTTATAGCTTTAATATACCTGAATACCTTTCTCATTCTGGCTACCTGCAAACAAGGAGCAGTTCTTTCTAAAGTTTCATCTCTGCCACTTGGCAAATCTCTCCCAGAAATCAGATACTCTGCAAATGGTTATAGATGCTGTCAGAGATGAAAGACTAAGCATTGATACCTGTTAAACTCTAATTTATCAAACAATAACTTATCACTATAAAACCTGGCAATTACACTCTTAGATGGGTATCCTAGAGAAGCAAAGCTTCTACTCACACAAAAACCTGCATAAAAAGCTTTGTTCTGAAATAGTAAAAAACCAGGAACCACTCAGATGTCCTTCAATGAATGAATAATTAGTGGTAAATGGTACTGTCAGACAATGGAATATTACTCAGGCATAAAAAAGAACTATTAATAAATTCAACAGCTTAGATAAATTGTGAGGGGCTTAAATTGTGCTTATGAGAACACCAAACAATGACAACAAAAACCCTTAGGCAATCTCAAGAAGTCATATACTATTACAGTTCATTTCTATGACATTCCTAAAATGACAAAATTATAGAAATAGGGAAATGTGTAGTGGTTACCAGGGTTTAGGGATAGGGATTGAGGGAGAACCTTGTGGTGATGAACCTGCCCTGTATCTTGTATGTACCAAGGCCAATATTCTGGTTGTGATCATGTAACAGTTTTTGCAAGATGCTACCACTGGGGTAAACTAGGTTGAGGGTACATGGGATTTCCATATTATTTCTTAAAATTTTATGTGAATCAACAAATCTCAAAATAGTACAGTTTTAAACATAATAAACCATGTCTAAAATGTGAACAAAAATAAAAATGTAAAAGTACTTTACAAATAGGCACAGTTTCGAATAACACATCCACTGTGATGCGGACACATTCAAGACGTGAACCAATCTCTCAAAAACAGGTACACGAACACCTCATTCTATTGCACTTGACAGAGACCGTGGTTTTGACAAACGATGGTATATGGCCACCTTGTTCTGAGTAAGTCTATCGGCACCATTACTCTCAACAGCATGCGTTCACTCTGTGTCTCTGTCATACTTTGGCATATCTCTCAATATTTCAAACTCTCCTCACAATATTATTGCACACTTAACCAACAACCTACCACCATCGCCACTGAATCAATTTTGACTTAAAGCAAGGCTACTGGCTAAAGTCTTTACAGGAGTAGAAAGGCTCCTCTTTCTATCTTGGAGCGACTGGTATGTTTGAAATGCTGACCTTTCAGTTAGCATTCTGATACTTAACCCACTACACTAGCAGGGCTCCCCCTAAATAGACTGCAGTAGAGTATAAACCTAAGTTACATGCACTGGGAAAGAACATATTCAAGCACTTGCTTTACTGCAATATTTACTTTACTGCAAGTGATCTAGAACCAAACTAGCACTACCTCCAAGGTGCGCCCACACAGAAGGCATGAGAGAAGTTTCCTTAAATATGAATACATGATGGGCTATTAGAAGCCACCAGATGACAAATGAAATCAGAAATCAGTAACAAGAGAGCCATCTCTGCCCTAAACAGTGAGCTGGGTCCCCGAACTCCAATCCATCACAACATGCGCAGCTGGGCTTGCATGGGGATGAGTAATAGCCACTGGTCTCTGAAATCTGATCTGTTTGCCATTTAGATCCCTGTGATTCACTGAGGCTGGCTGCAATCATATCTAAAAATACAGGAAATCTGCAGCCTAAGCAAATTTGACTCAGGGAGCCATGGGTTTTTGATTCAAATAAGGCACATTTGAAGGCAGTGTTCAATATCTGTATCACTAAGTGCAGAGGAAGTTCTGTTGAAATCTAGAAGAGTATTAGAATTATCTGTTTCCACGCATTTTATCTGGGAGTTACAGGACACCTATTCATCAGCAGGGAACATGAGCTCTAAGGTTCTCTGCAGGCTAGAATGAAGGATGCCATTCCTTGGATACTGGGTGTGGCCCACTACATACCTGCTCAAAAGAGGAAAGAGGGGGTCATGAGCGATTAAGCACAGAGTAGGGTGTGGCTGTCACATGAGTGACCAAAGGCCACTTGGCCCAGCAGTGGCCAAGACAGAGAGGGTGTGGTGCTGTGGACTTGGCATTTTCTGTTTTGTCCATTCCCACTCAGGACCTCTTCCTGACTTGCATCCATGACAAGTGGTGAGCAGGGCAGCTGATTTCTGGGAGTTAACCTGTGGACACTCCCAATTTCTTTGGTGACTGTTTTGGGATGTCCCCTTAGGGACCTGCCCTGTCACAGCTACCGCTGCACTTACCCATCAGGACAGTCAGCAACTTCTGCACTCTGGAGTTGACCCCCACGACACGGTACAGCCCTTGCTCATTGATCCCTGAGGAGACAAACAGTGATGATTTAATTAGTGGCACATCAGGACACAAGTCAAGGCAGCCTCGCCAAACAGACATTATCCCCCGCCCCCCTTCATTTTCTCAGCTCTCCTAAAAGCTGCTCTAATTAAAGTCCCCTGTCACTCAACTCAGCTCTTTGCGAAGGAGTGGGATTTGGTACAGCTGTCTAGGATTTCACGGATGTGCTGCACACTTCAGCCCTCGTGTTATAAAATCATGCATATCACTCTGCCTGGTTCAGTCACTGGAGGGGGAGGAAACCTTCCTCTTTTCTTGCTCAAGTCAGCATTTAAAGTATTTTGAAGGAGGCAAAATATATACCTCTAAATATAGACCATATGTAACAAAATTTTAATTTAGGAAGTAAAAAAAAAAGATATGATAAAAAAATTCCTATGAAAGGAAAGGATAAATGTTTTGCAATCTATTCTTACCAAGATTACAGAGTGAAATCTTTAAAAAGTCTTACTGACTGAAAATACTGAGGTCTAAGGACATGGTTAACTTTGGGAAATGTTGATCAGGACTGAGAAATTAGGAAATATGTTCATTTATTATCTAAATAGTATATTTTTTTATAAAGAAAAAAAAATCCAGATCTCATTTGTAACACACTGACTGCTTGAAAAGAAAACCTTGCCACATCAATAAATGCATTTCTACTACATATTAGTGACTTATTTTTTTACCACATGGATATACCACTGTTTGTTTATCTAATCAATTTTTAAAATATGTGGTTAATTTCTGAGTGGGTTTGTTGTTTGGTTTTTTTTTTCCATCTTAACACAATTGTGGAAACATCTTTATGTCTCAGTCTAGACCCATGGCTTTATTTCCTCAAAGATCAATTCTCAGAATTTTCATCAATTTTGACTTCTTGTTATGTGCCACTGAGTTGGAACCAACTCACAGCTGACCCTCCAGGAAGTTTTCAAAAGGCCGTAAATCGCATGGGAGGAGACTGCTCATATTTTTCCTGCATTTTTATTTTATGGCCTCTAGCTGTCATTTATATTTCTTTGTAAATTGCCTTAACTCTGTTGCAGGAAGGCACAGCAGAGACAGGCAAACATTTAAAAAGAGGATTTTTGCATTTTGAAACAAGTCGCTTGGATAAGAATACTTTTTGACTAAATTCTGTAGTTGAAAGGTTCTAGGTTTTGTTTTTGTGTCCTCTCACTCAATGCTTCACAGCTTTGTATAAAGAAATTTGTATTTCTTAAGTGATGCATGTCATAGTCTTTGCTTTACAAGACAGAAGCTCTTTCAAACAAAGGGTTGTTGTCATGAGAGCCTGCAGGATAAATGAAATTCGTATGTTTGATAATAGTCAAATCTAGTGGCAAGATGATTAACAACAGCTCTTGTCAGGGGAACAGAAGACAGGAGTATATGAACCTCTCGGCTGCCAGTACTGAGGACTCCTTTGTGACAGAAGAGATGGGGAACTATTGGGCTTAATTAGCTTCTCTGAACTCGCGGTCCTGTTCCGATGAGCCCAGGAAAGATGACTATACAATACATAAGGCCTGATTGCATCCCCAGTGCAGAAAAGCAGTAGCTTTACCTTTGTCCTTCCCTCCACCTGGGATGGTCCCCAGGTACTGGCTCCTCAGAGCAAAATCTCTTAATCTGAGGTCCTTGGATCAGTCCTCAGTGGACCATTAGAAATAATTCAGAGTCCTTAAACTTTATTGGGAAAGTAAGCACATCTTTATTTTCCGTAACCTAAAACGGAAATTACGCATTTCCTTTCCTAATTGAATACAGACAACAAACACATCACAAGTACCTTCTTAACACATTACAATTGTTACAGACATCTTAAATACTTCAAAATCATGATAGTTATTAGCTCTGACACAACCTCTTGGGTTATTTAATGAAGCAACAAAGAAACACATACTGATAAATCATAATGAGGATATGTTAAAATATTTTAATAATTGAATTGCAGTAACTGGTTTTCTGGGTAATCTTTTTTTGTGTTTGTTTTACATGAACAGGCAATTAAAAAAATTAAGTTTGGAAAGGAGTCATTGGCTTCACTAGCGAAAGAGGCCGACGACATAGAATAAACTGAGAGCTGTAGCACCAGCACCAAGGTAACGCGACAGGCAGAAATACACAAAACTTTAGCACTTGGGGAGTTAATGAGTCACTTAAAATCGGGGACCAGCAGGTAGCAGGCATGACCTTCACTGGGCACAATGCCATCTGCGAGTTACTTTACCTCTGGTTTCCACAGCATGGATGCACTTCCTGATGATGCTGAAGCCGATGCTGTCCAACTGCGCCACTGTAAAGAGCAAGAGAAGCCAGTCAAGAGGCTGGTCATGCACCTCAAGCCCAGAGCAGACCAGTCCCTGGCATGCTTATGATATGAAAGGCTGAGAAAATAACAATAATAATAGGTCTAAAGATAATAAACTGAATGGATTATTTAATTTCATTTTCACAGTCACTGAAAAAACTGCAGCACAGAGTGATAAATGCCTTGCTTGGGGAGTCACTAGGCATCCTGAAAATCACTTTGTTAACAGACACTGTAGGACTCACTGCCTACTGGTCCTCTTCAAATTAGTACAAATGCTGAGTAATGGTCTTATGGATTATCTCATTCAATCCTTGAGAGTCTCCCAGGATGATATCATCACTAGCCCCATAATGCAGATGGAGAAACTGAGATCTGGCAGGGTGAAGTACGCTTCCCAAAATTACAGAGCTAAGCACGGGGGAGGCAGGCTCTAGCACCCTCAGCCTGAATCACCACCAATGACACAAGTCAGAGAGACGTATAGTTTTGCTCAAGACATCAGAATAAAAGGGTTAAAGACCAAAAGGAAAATGGAACAGCCAACAGTAAAGAACCTACACAAAGGAAGAACTCAACCCTTTATGTGGAAAACTGGAAATGTCACTGTATTCTCTAAATCCATTGACAGCATTAAGAAAATAAACGATCAACAGCAGTGGCTTTCCCCAAAGTGTAGAGCAGATCTAGCATCTAGGTTGGAAATTCACCTAAATTTATCCCCACACTTTGCTTATCCAGTGATAAGATGTGTGTGGTAATAGGTAGAAATGGGTTCATCTTTGACCTCCTTGGGTAATTAGGCATGGTATTCTACTCTTTAAATGTTCTGAATGGAGAAGCGAGTGGTACACAGTAAGGAAGTGAGCTTTTTAAATAGTTTGTCATCATTGAAGGGCATGGGATAAACTTGTAAAATGTAACAAATGAACAGAAAGTGAATTCATCTTGAATCTAATGCAAATGGCGTATTTTCCCAATTCTTAACTAAGAGCCAATGAAGAAAATCAAGGGAAAAAAAACCACTGAGAATTCCAAAATCAAACCAAAAAAATGGATTCTAATTTCCCATAACATCTCTTCCCAAAGAAAAATAGCTTTGTACTAACATGCATACTTACTGCTAAGGGGAATGTACCATAAACACACTCAGCCTCTGAGATAGTAAGGAAAGTACCAGAAAAGAACAGAAAACAATGCTTTTCTCCCTGGAGACCACCTGTTCTAAAAACCAGTCTTTTCATTCTAGAAGCTACAAGAAGCCTCCTAACTCAATTCTTGGCTTTTTTCCAACATAAACTCAGTATTTATGCTCTGTGCAAAGTAGGAGAGTGTAAGGTTCCTAAACAGAACACACAAGTCAGATCAAAGTCTTTGTTCCAACTGAAACCCAATTAACTCATACTAAGACATTTTTAAAATGTAATAACAAGCTATAATTTAGCTAACTAAAGTATACAGTTTGTTGATGTTAGTTTACTTGTTGTTGTTGTTGTTATGTGCCATCGAGTCGTTTGCGACTCATAACGACCCTATGTACAAAAGACCTAAACCGTGCTCTATCCTGTGCCAACTGCACTGCCTCTGACACACACCCATCCCGATTACCCCAGTCACTGAATCAATCCACCTCATAGAGGGTCTTCCCCTCCTGCGCTGTCCCTCTACTCTACCCAGCATGATGTCCCTCTCCAAAGACCTGTCTCTCCTTACAACATGTCCAAAGTATGTCAGACGGAGCCCCAGAATCCTTGCCTCCAAGGAGTAGCCTGGTTTAACCCTCTCTGGCATGAATCTGTTTGTTTTCTTGGCAGTCCATGGAACATTCAATACTCTTCTCCAGCACCACAGCTCAAAGGCGTCAATTCTCCTTCTATCCTTCCTAGTCACTGTCCAACTCTCTGATGCATAACAAGTGATTTCAAAGACCATGGCCTATATCAGGCGCACCTTAGTCTCCAGAGACACTGTTGCTCTTGAGTACTTTAGAGAGTAGTTTACTTACCCAAAAAAAAAGCCTCTGTATCAATTATCTAAACAATTTTCATTAAAAAGCCTATACCCATTAGTAATCAATTTCTCATTGCTAATTTTACCTGTGACCCTGGTAACCACAAATCTTTCTTTTTTTATTTTCTTATTTTAAATTATTATTATTATTATTATTAATTTCAATGAACATCCACAGAGATTTTGGAATTCCATTCATTCATTGTTGCACTTTTCTCCCCATCCCCCACCCCCAATTCACTCCTCTCCTTGAAAAGCAAAAGACAAAGCGATTTTTTAACCATAAATATTTACCTATTAGGAGTATTTCATAGAAACAGGATCATACTATATATGGCCTTTTGTCTAGTTTCTTTCATTTGCATGGTGTTTTCAAGGTTGATCAAGATGTAAGGTGTATTAATTCTTTTTAAAACTGACTAATGTTCTAGGACCTGGATATATTTAATGAATCTGCTTCTTTAGATAATGGGGCATTAAAGTTACTTTAACTCTTTGGCTCCTGTGAATAATATGACTGTCAACATTTATGTAAAAGTTGGCGGACAAGTTTCAGTTTTGTATACTTTGGGGGAAGACCTGCTGGGTTATAAAGGAACTCCATGCTTAACTCTTCAGGAATTGCCAAACTGATTTCTAAACTGGTGTCAAACAACTGCACTGTACATTGGTCCCAATGTCTCCACATCCTTACCAACATTTCTTATTGTCCTTTTTATTATAGTAATCTTAGGGGGTGTGAAGTGCCATCTCAGGGTGGTTTTGATTTGCATTTCCTGTCTGACTAAGGATGTTGGGCATCTTTTTGCGTGTAGGAGAGGACATTCATTCCTTTATACAGTAGTCAGAAAAAAAAAAAAAAAAAAGAATAGTCTTCTGGAAAGTATGAATCGGGGCAGGGAGGGGGAGAATACTCTATGTACTTACAGAGGTTTCCAGAATGCTTATAACTATTATTCCATGGCCAGTTGTAGCCTTGGAGTTCTATTGAGAGATATCTAAGAAAATCTATCCATAGGGACACTAGTCAAAGACTTTTGGGAGGAAAAAAATCCAGCTATCATTGTATATCTAGTGTTTGGGAAGGTGTGGAGATAGATCCCAAACTTGAATGTTTAAGATTAAGCTTGAGAACACAGGCTTAATGCCTTAATATTTGTGTGTTATTCTACTTTCTTTTGCCATTAATGCCAATAAAAGTTTTGGGAAATTGTCAAGAATCAAGCAATTGACATGATGACCTAATACTGGCCTGAAAATACCTACTCATAAAGTCAATCCTCTAACTAATGTGAAAAACAAGGACAGATTTACATATAACCCTGTAGAGACAGATCAGTCCTTGGGTCTTTTTTTGTGGAACTGTGAGAAGTCAGGCCTTTCTTCATAGTATCTAATGGAGAAAAAGAAAATATAATCCAAGTATATCTAGGGAAAAAAAAACCCCATCCACTTGTAGTAACTACAATTAGCTCTCATGATATAAATATGTTTTGTGAGTCAGAACCAACTCGTAGCTGACCCTTGTCCATCTCTCTCACAGAGTAGCTGGCAGATTCAAACCACATGCTTTGGGGTCCACAGTGCAACCCCTTACCACTAGACCACCAGAGTCCCAGTCCAGAGCATATTACACTGTGAAGGCCTTGATTCTTCAGTGATTTGAATCTACTAGCTGACCTGAGGGAAGAAGATAAACAGCCTCCTCCTGTTAAAATTTACAGCCTCAGAAACCTGATGGATGGTCTTTGTGAGCTGGAATGAACTCCATGGTGGAGTTTATAGAAATTACAGTTTCTTCTTAAGGAAATGGCAAAGCAATAGCTTCTACACTAAAGTTCCTCCTCTGCCTTTCCTCACTAATTAATTTTAAACCAGCAGATTCGTTCTCCTGAAATAAATCTTACACAGATATTACACACCAAGGCCTCATGCAGTTTACATGTAATGCAGTATTTATTAACACACATTAGTTGTCTAAGCCCAAGAGCATATAACATTTGCATGCTGCGAAGTCAAACCTTAAGAACTCAAATTAACTCTCTGTCGGGCTCTAATGTGTTCAAGTTAGATGGTAATTATTATTGATGGCAATAAGCTAAAATTATGTTAAGAAATAGAATTCACAGTAAATACCAGTTTTCCCAAGAGAGAACTTATGAAATACAATTTAACAATCATTGTTCTAAATATCGAAACTGGGACTGGTATAAATTATCATCCAGGAATTTCCACATCCCATCCTCCACCTGCACACAGAGACTGGACTTTTCCCCCCCATCCACTTGACTTTCCTGCTGACCCTGTAATGAGGTTACTAATAATTAACAACAACTTTAGTATTTAGCATGCGCTGACCACCACTAATGTGATAGGAGCTGCAGTGCATCCATGACCAGACAATTAGCCCTGATCTCTGCCCAGTGGGTACATAAGCTAATTGAGCCCTCCTAGTCAGAAAAGTGACTTCCCAATAAAAGGTTTAGTACACCATCACCACAGAGCAGAGGCTGTTAATGGAAGAAGTCTGAGCGGCCCGCCAGATGGAAGCGGCTGTCCATAATCCCCTCAAGCAGGTGATTCAGCTCTTTTACTGAGCCAAGGCTCTGAAAAGGTCAGGGATTTATTTGCAATTTCAGTATCCTTATAATCTCCAGAAATAATCTCTCATTAAATGTCTACTAGGCTTGCATTATTCCCTTAATTTGACATGCGATGAGTTGTTGCAGTACCAAAGGCTCCCAGGCCTGTCATCCACTATCAGGCTACAGAGGCTTGGACCAGCTTTCCTCCACCCTTTGCCCCAAGTTCAGAGCCACTCAGACACAAGGCCATCTAAGTAGCTATCACATAATGCATGTTCACAGAGTTTACACCAATGCACACTCTGACTTTCCAAGTCAGGAATGTGTCATCCTCTTAACTGACAACACCTGATGTCTGGTTCCTTCTTTTCAAGAAAAGAGGAGAAAGGG